CTGGTGACCCTGGGCATTGAACCACCCCTGGGATGCAGAGCCAGTGCCAGAGCGTCCACCAACCTGGTCCATGCGGTTGGCCACGGCGCTGACGATGCCCTGGTCACGAAAATGCTGGTGGAAGCGGTCGATGTTGACTTGCCAGTAAATGCCATCGTCGGGGGGAGGCTGTGGGGGGAAAATGAGAGACAGGAGCCACAAAACCGAGGGAGAGGAGGGAGAAAAGAGAGGGAGAGGAGGCACGAAAGTGTGGGAGCCACAAAACTCGTTTGTTTTCCCTGGGAGAAAGCGTTTGGGAAGACGCTGGAGCTGATGCTGCCCCCCGTACCTCTGAGCTTTCTCCATCTCGCTTCTGCTTTTTAGCCTTGTGGTCACCGCTCTCGTCCTCGTCGCATGATCGTCGCCGCTTCCCTTTCCCTGCCGAGCGAAGATGCCGTTTGCTTTTAAAATCCTGTTTGTAGGGTCTCAAGTGAAGAGCACTTGGCCGAGCGCCCCCCGAAACTCCGCGCTGAGCGTCTGGCAGCACCCGAGGGGATCCTCACCGACGAGGTTCAGCCGGGGCACGACGTACATGTCCTTCTCGTTGACCAGCAGCGCGGGCGCGGGGGGAGGCGGCGCGCTGGGGTTTTCGGGGCTTTCGGGGACCTGCGGGCACCTCTGCACGAAGTGGGTGTCCGCCAGGCGCACAAAGGTGCTGGAGACGTCGCCGTAATCCATCGTCTTCCCATCTAGGCCCGAGCACAGGGACGCAGCGTCAAGCTCACAGAATCACAGAATCACAGAATCCCAGAACGCTAGGGATTGGAAGGGACCTCCAAAGCTCATCCAGTCCAATCCCCCTGCCGGAGCAGGAACACCCAGATGAGGTTACACAGGAAGGCGTCCAGGCGGGTTTTGAATGTCTGCAGAGAAGGGGACTCCACAACCTCTCTGGGCAGCCTGGGCCAGGGCTCTGTCACCCTCACTGAGAAGAAGTTTCTTCTCCAATTGAAGTGGAACCTCCTGTGTTCCAGTTTGTGTCCGTTACCCCTTGTCCTATCATTGTTTGTCACCGAGAAGAGCCTGGCTCCATCCTCGTGACACTCACCCTTTAAATATTTATAACCATGAATGAGGTCTCCCCTCAGTCTCCTCTTCTGCAAACTAAAGAGCCCCAGCTCCCTCAGCCGCTCCTCAGAAGGGAGATGCTCCACTCCCTCCATCATCTTTGTAGCCCTACGCTGGACTCTCTCCAGCAGTTCCTGTCCTTCTTGAACTGAGAGGCCCAGAACTGGACACAATATTCCAGATGCGGTCTCACCTGCCAGCCCCGGGTCGCTCCGGTGGCTCCAGAGGACGAGGTGATGCTGCGGTCCCCACCCTCAGCTGCTCAGGGGCTATTTTGGGGTGACGAGCAGCATTTTGAACCCCTCTGGCAGCAAGGCCGCTTTGGGCGGCTCCTTCTCCAAGTTCATGGCCAACTTTTCACCATCGAGCACCCAGTGCCACATTCCCTGAGGAAAAGCGGCCTCCAGCAGCCACCAGACCTCATCCCAATCCCAGATCCCTGATCTTTGTAATAAAAAAGAGGAGCTTCCCACCTTCCATGGTCTCGGTCAGCCTATCGGCCACCTTCCTGACCAGCGCGCTCATCGTCATCTTGCCGTTGAGGAGCAGCTCCTCCACGATGAGCTCGCCCGTGTCGCTGTAGAGGGTTTTGGCGGTGTAGATGTAGCGGGGGTAGCGCAGGAGAGGTTGCCCGAGCGCACGCGTGCACCGGGCCTCGTACTCCACAAAACCGCGTTTCTGCAGCTGGTACGACACCAGGTTGTGCTGGATGAGGACGCACAGGGCCTTCTTCACCTGCACGGGGCAGAGCGGGCCATGGTGATGTGATGGAGAAGCCCACATGGTCACCAAGTGTTTCCTACCCCCACTGTGATCCTCCCTGGTGCTGAGGGGTTGTGTTTGTGCCACCACAGTCACAAAATCACAAATGGTTTGGGTTGGGACCCCAAAGCCCCCAGTCCAACCCCCAT